TATTTTGGCGGAACCAGGAATTGAACTCGGGTCCTTGTGCTTGCCAGGGAAACACTTAACCTACTGAGCCATCTCCCTGGCCCTATTGTGCTTTTAAAAAGGGAATTTTAAGAATTATTTTAAGACTCTGAAACTGAAATGTCTACTGCTCCTAGGCAACTTTGCATCCCCAAATTGGTCTTATCTAGATGCCTGTTCTGATCTTTTTTCTGTAATCTTAATGTGTTGTTAGGAAAGTTCTTAAAAATTCTGATGAAAAATACAGCAAAATCAAAATTGGTCATTACTAGCAAGTATGATACTGCTTTTTTTGGTGTGTGTGTGTGTGGTACTGGGGATTGAACTCAGGACCCCACGCTTGCCAGGTAAGTGCTTATTCTACTGAGCTTTCTCCCTGGGCCCATTTTTTTTTTTTTTTTTTTATGATACTGCTTTGAACATATACTTTTGTCTAATGTATACTCACAAAAATATGTATCCCAATATTTTAGTATTTTCATACTTACGCACATGAACAGTCCTGTTTTTAATCAATAAACTTTCCTACTAATCTTTAAAAAACATTTAGGGCTGGACAGATGGCTCAGTGGTCTAAAGCACCTACTTGGAACAAGCTTGGCAAAGCACAGGGACTGCGGTTCAATCCTCCAGCACCACATGCCAGCCAGCCCCGCCCCCTGGTGGGCTGAGCTGGCCACGCGCGCGCGCACACACACACACACACGCGCACACACACACGCGCGCACACACACACAATAAATGTTAAAAAAAATAAATAAATAAAAAAAACAAAAACAAAAAAAACAAACATTTAGGTTTCTTTCTTTTTTTTTTCTTGTGGAACCGGGCATTGAACTCAGGCCCTTGTGCTTGCCAGGGAAGTGCTTATTCCACTGAGCCATCTCTCCGGCCCCCAATTTTAGGTTTCTAAGCCACATGGATTTTCAGATTAGTGGTGCCCAATCTGTGTAATGATTACGCTGGGTTAGAAGTGTGGACCTCAAAACAACCACTTCCGTGTGAGCAGGGCGCCACACCTGCTGGGGTGCGCTTGTATCTGGCCCTTCCTTTGCATGATATGCGCCTGGTGTTGGCTTGCGATGGGTCCTGTACACAGATGTCAGGGACTACGAAGCCGACTGCATTCACCCTATCTGCTCAGCAGTTATGAAGCTGCGCTAATGCACAAGGCATCAGCGGTCACACACAGGAGGAAGGATGCGCACCTAGAGCCAACCCTGGAATGCATCTGGGTCCCCAGCAGAGATGGTGCAGGATCCCCTCACAAATGTTCTACTATGATGTTTAAAATCTTGCCTAGTAAATAAGATCCTTGTTTCCCTTAATGTGCTCAGCTAACGCTCACTGGAAAATGTCTTCTGCAGTCATTTTCATGGCTTACTGAGCTCAGACTACTGGTGTTACCAGTAAACCTCCATCTTTGGGTATGCTCGGTGACAATAGTCACAGAGAATATTACACAGGGGAAGGGCACACACCTGTTAGTTTTATTTATTTATTTTTTGCGGAACCGGGGTTTGAACTCAGGCCCTTGAGCTTGCCAGGCAAGCGCTTATTCTACTGAGCCATCTCCCCAGCCCTCCCTGTTATTTTTTTTTGAAATGTAAAAGGAATCCATTGACATTTAATGGACCGCATTCCAGGTAAAAGAAACTAGTGAGGGTAAGTGTTTTCATGATGCCACACCTTCAGCCAGGAAAAAACAATCTTTAAACTTAAAAATTTACTGGGTCTTAATTTTAAACAGTCCCAATTCTTTGGAGGTAGAACAGCAAAGCACCACACAATGCCCCTCCTCTGCGCATACATTTCAGACAGGTTGCATGAGCAAGTGTGTCTTCCTCATTAGAAGACTGTCCTTCACTGTTAAGGACAGTCTTATTAAAAACCTAAAGGAAGCAACTAGTACCTCCTCAAGTTTTCCATCTGCTAAAAATTAATTTCCAAGGAAGTTTTTCTCTTCCTCATCCTGACTTAGAATGCTTTAATTTACATATGGATTTCATTTTCCTGTTTTTAATTTTCTTAAAAGAGATCGCCATGTGGTACAGCTAAATATCTTGGGCTGAACTTGGGTAAGAACGTTACTTTTCGTCTGGCCCCGGTCTGTGTGAGTGGATGTGGAACAGTCTCTGTAACGCGATGTGTAACGTGATAGGATGATCCCAGGACACAGCATCCTTTCCATGTTGAGCAGAGAACAAAGAGGAGAGTGGGCCTCACATACCAGCAGCAGCGTTTGCTAAGCTACTTTGCCAAAACAAACACCTAATGCATTCATGTAACTGGCAGCATGAACACATCAATGGAACCCTTCAACCCAGGACTCTCAGTAGAAGAGTAAGATGGGAATAAGCAAGCAAGTCCATGACACAGCAACCCCTAAGCCCACGACATTCATATAGAATGGAACAAAAAGCCAGGTCAGATTTTAGTAAATGATTAAGATATCTAGAAACTAGAGGTCTGTACTGGTTGACACACTGTGTCAACTTTAGGAGTTTAGAAGTTCAATTAAGTGACTCAGCAGGGAGCCAGGGTTCTTAGTCGTAAGCGCCCTCATCCTGTGCAAGAGGAGGGCATGGACATTGTGCTGGTTCTATACCCCCAGCCCCAGGGTAGCTTGCTCATAATATAAGGAGAGAGAGGCTGGATAGAAGCTGCAGCTGCTGCCCTTCCCTTTGCTCTTCACTGTTTTCTGCTGCCATGAACAGCTGCCCTCTGCCATGTGCCACTTTGCCTGGGAGCCAGCTGAGTATAGACTAAAACCCTCACAAACTAAGCTTGCATATGATTATTTTGGCTGGCTCAGGCTGCCTTAAGGGCAGGTCTGGTAATGCATGTGGAGGTGGGGATTGAACCGCAGTATCCTGCACCTGACTGCATTTACACAAGCAGGCGCTTAAACAACTGAGCTAACCGGCAGGCTCCCAAACTGAGCTTATATAACTTTAACGTGGGTATCAGGTATTTTGTCCCAGCAGTGAGTAAACGTAACTGAGACAAGGTATTAAAACTTTTCTTCAAGTAAAAATTAGGAACAAAAAGGGCTCACCTGGGGTGACTTCTGAGTGGAACTATACACAGTAATTAATTTATTATATAAAAAATATTTTGCTTAGTTTTGTGTTTTGAGACACAGTCTCATATGAAGTTTGCGTTGGCCTTGTGCTTACTTTTGTAGCTTCCAGGCTGGTCTCAAACTCCCAGAGATCTTCCTGGCTCGACCTCCCAAGTGCTGGGATACGGGTGTGTGCTACCATGCATGGCTCTCAGGCTGCAGGGTGGGTGCCCAGGCTAAGAAGGCTGCGGAGGTGAGCCTGGGAATCCGGTCAGGACCACATGGCATGTGTGGCTGGGGACTGAACTCGGGTCCTTGTGCTTGCGAGGTTAGGTGCTTATGTCTCTGAGCTATCTCTCCAGCCCCATAAAACGGATTCAAAACACCTGAGTGTTTTATACCTTTTTTAAAAAAATGTATTTGGTTGTTACAGGATCTCACTACGTAGCTTAGACTCATGATGATCCTCCTGCTTTCTGCCTTCCCAGTGCTGGGATTGCTTGTGCCATCACGCCTGGACTCACCCTGGGTGCGGGGCTGGCCTCGAATGTGGTGCTGGGGATCCAACCGCAGTCCCTGTGCTTTCCTATGCTTGCCTAAGCAGGCACTTTAGTCTGCTGAGCTATCTTTCCGGCCCACACCTAAGTGTTTCATTTTTTTTTTTTTTAATGTATTTAGCACAGGGTCTACAGGGTCTCACTACAGAGAGCAGACTTGTAGTGATCCTTCTGTTTTCAGCCTCCCAAGTGCTGGGATTACAGCATGCTACCACGCCCAGTCTCAGTTGCCAGCTGGCACAGCAAGCTGGGGATTGAACCCTGGTCCAAGTCTGCCTAAGTGGGTGCTTCAGTCTGCTGAGCTAGCTGGCTGGCCACTTGAGTGTTTCAGAGTAAGCAGCTTGGCGCTGTCACTGAGATGGAAACTCAGCCTTGCTTCCACATCTGCTCACCCGTTATTTTCTCTAGTTTTCTCGTGGGACTCTTCACCCCAGGGCCCTGCTCCTGGCAATGCTCTGTTCTGAGCTCCCCAGAGTGGCCGCCTCTGCAGCAAGTGACAGGCGGCTTCCACACTGCATTTGTACTTAGCATTCGCTGCTAGCACCGACTGTCAAGGACATTATGAGCCCCTTTTCTCCTCAGTTTTTTTAATTGATTAAGATCTCCTATGTGGGGCTGGGGAGATGGCTGAGTGGAATAAGCGCTTCCCTGGCAAGTGCAAGGGCCTGAGTTCAATCCCCGGTTCTGCAAAAAAAAAGAAAGAAAGAAAAAAAAATCTCCTCTGTGACTGCAGGGTTTGCAGCTGTTGAGCACCAGTGAGTGCCAGCGAAGCCTGCACCCCAAATCTCTGTAATTTCAGGCCAAGCCACCATACCTACGCATACTGCTGCCCTGCTGGCCGGGCCATGCTATTGTGGGAGCTGCCCTGTGCAGCCCAGGATGTCGGCAGCAGCCTTGACCTGGACCCACCTCTAGTTTTGACAGTCAAAACCTTCTCTGGACACCAATCAACGGTCCCTGATTAGTGGACATTCGTCTACACCTGTGCCTTCAGTAATTTAAATCAACAATACTTTCTGAAAAACCAAGATTCTCATGCCTAGCTCTGGAAGAGAATAAAGCAGAGGAAGATCACAGAGGAGGGCACCAAAAGCTCTGGGGGAGGATGGCTACTTGAAGCGGACATTTGGTTTGTACTAATCAGACAGAAAGGACCTGGCTGACGCTGTACAGACGGTGAAATGTAGGAAACCTGTGGACACTTACCAATTCTGGCACACTTCCAAAATATTCCCAATAGTCTGCAAAGAACGAGAAAAAAAAAGCAGCTACTGATTACTGGGAAAGACAAATCATTATGTCCACATTACACAGAAAATTAATTGTATATTCCCATTTTAAACCTAATGCTTTGCTTCAAATTTGAAATGTGCAGGGGCCGGGGAGATGGCTCAGTGGAATAAGTGCTTCCCTGGCAAGTGCAAGGGCCTGAGTTCAATCCCCGGTTCAAAAAAAAAAAAAAAAAAAAAAAAATTGAAATGTGCTTGTTTCATGTTGAGCCAGGCATGAAAATAAGACACAAGAGTACGTCAGCTACTGATTACTGGAATATGTGGCACCAGCGGCCAAGAGCAGACTGCACTAATATAAGGAGCAAAAGTTTTCATAAAGGTTTACTGTATTAATTTAGTCAACTCGGACTGTTTTGCTACCTTCAAAGGCAGAACGGTTACATGCTAACTTGACTGATATTAATTCTGAAAAATGACACATGAACTCAGATTTGGATGAACTTTGGGATCATACTAAAACTTCCTTAGGAGGGCCGGCAAGACAGCAGCACCGCGGACCGACCATGTGCTCTGGCAAGCGCAGGTACCAGGGTTTGGTCCCCGGTCCCCCATGTCATGCTGGCCCCACCCCCCGGGGTGTGCTGGGCCGGGGAAGGAGTCCATGCGTGGTGGTGTACCCTGTCATCCCAGCGCTGGGGAGGCGGAACATAGGAGGATCACTACAAGTTGGCGCTGCGTAGTGAGAGCCTGCAGCAAATACATAAAATGAAAAGAAAAAGTCTTACAGCATGTAGCTATATGAAATAATCTAAATAATCTATAACTTAAATAGTCTATACTCATGAGCTACGTTAGTACCCTATTTTATCCATCTGCATCACTCAGTAGAAGAAACAAAAGTGTGTGACTCCATTAATATAAGCAAAGGCTTCCTAGGTAGGAGAGACTATGTGTTTAAGCAGGATGCATCTAAAAACAAAAGCAATTTGCAGATCCTACTTTGCTGGCCTAACAGAAGACTAGAACTGTACGGGCGCTGCACTGGGCTGCACATTCAGAAGAACCGGCGTGATCTGCTGCTCAGGTCGGGGCTGGCTCAGCAGTCACAGGCACCGCCTTTTCAAGGAAGCTACACTCGCGCCACCACGCCCAAGAACGGCTGGCTGGAGAGGAGCTGGGAGTAAACGAAAATACCCATGTAACTAAGATCTTTACATATTCTTCAGTTCAGATTAAATGGAATGAGCAATAACACAAGTTTATTTCAGAGCCTAAACATCCTATTCTGGGAGGCAAAATAGTTTTACTACAGGAACAAAGCGATTATATAGCCAAACGCATTTCTGAAACTATCATAAGCTAACATAATGGCCAAACAATGCTTATGTTCAGTCTTTCTCTCTTAAAAATAGCATCTAGGGGCCGGGGAGATGGCTCAGTAGAATAAGTGCCTTCCTGGCGAGCTCAAGGGCCTGAGTTCAGCATCCACCCTCCAGCAGAGGAACACACGAGTGGGTTACACATGGAGGCCCGCCTGGGCTAGTATCATAACGTAACAGCGCAGCGTAACATCAGGAAGTCGGCACAGCATCATATTAAGTTTTTAAATGAATCAAAAATCCTAACTTGCCAACCCAGAGCCTGACCAGCACCGCCGTAGCTTTTCTGAGACTTACTAAGTCTCAGCAGCTCCATAATACCCTAAATGCTATTCTTTAAAAAACTAGGCACTATTAGTTGCTAAAGCCAATATACTTAAGCTGTTTGGTTTCCATGGCTATATATCAGTCAAGAAAACCTGAGGTCAACGCTAGCTATCAGGGGTACGAAAGGAGGAAAGAGACCAAAGCAGCTGCCAAGCTGTGTATCTGTTGATGAAGCTAGTCGTGAGACGCTGTCTGATCCAGCGTTTCACTATCTCCTAAGCATGTACAATAAAGTTTAGGATGAGTCTCACAGAAAACATGGAATTGTAACAGAGGACAGCGCCTGTAAAAATTTATACAGAACACTAACATGCAAATCAAAATAAGATGGTGCTTGACATTTCTAAGAAGAAACAATGCTTTCAGAGAACTATTAATTCAGACCTTGAAATGTACAAGTAGGCAACCTTTCTGTGTAGGAGAAATATACTACCACTCAACCTCTACTGTAAGGTTGGCAGCCCTGAGAAGTCCTCTATTCATGTAGCATGCTACGGATACACTTCCACGCCCAAAGCGAGGGGCGGACGTGTCCACATGCAACTTATCTCCTCCTGAAAGATCATTTTTACAACAGCATCAGAAAAGTACACATAGTCTGATCTACAAAGGTGGCCCTTAGTTGTATAACTGATGGACATTCTTTTTGCATTTCATTTTGGGTTAAACAACTTATTCATATGCATTTTTTTCAATAAATTAAATTTCAGATCACTTTTATTCTTTCTTTTTTTTTCTTTTGGCAGGACCGGGGATTGAACTCAGGCCCTTGCGCTTGCCAGGGAAGTGCTTATTCCACTGAGCCATATCCCCGGCCCCCTCAGACCACTTCTGAGACTTATTTTTTTTTTTTAGTTTAGTAAGATTGTGAATATAAAGGTTTTAGATTTTTTTAAAAACAGGGAGCAAATAACAAAGAAATCACTACCACAATTTCCAATAGCACTGAGTTCTGTAATGACTTTTATGGTGACTTAACCTTAATGCCCATCGAGCCCCACTGGTGATGAGACGCCGCGAGTACCATACCCGGTTTTATTTTTGTCCAGGATGCTGGGGGTCAGGGAGCGGATGTAAGCACAGGTACATATAAGCAGCAAGATTACAGTCAATAGGCTCTGAAAGTTGAAGATGGCAGACTGAAAAGAGAAAACAAAATTAGTATCACAAGAAAACGTTCTTTTCTTTTTTTCTTTTGGGCAGAACCAGGGATTGAACTCAAGCCCTTGCACTTGCCAGGCAAGTGCTTATTCTACTGAGCCATCTCCCCAGCCCCCTCACAAGAAAATTTTCTAGCTAAAATAATGCCACACAATTCCACACTAAGAATCATTCTTTGATTTCTCTAAAAAGACAAACACAAGGACATGTCCAGCTACACTGAAACCCCAAATACACAGGCTACTGAGACACCTTTCTCTCCACTCCTGGGGCCGGGAAAGCAGGAGATGTGACAGAGAACATAAACTCAAGAATCTAAAAAATGTCACCAATTCAAAATAGCTGGCCACAGCTGAGCCAGGACATCATGCAGGCAAACATCCCAGACCCTGCTGTTTACACCTGCGGGGCCTCGGGAAAAAGATTGGATGGTGGCTACACTTTCTTTCAAGCCTGCACTTTTCTGGGCTAAACAGGCTTTAATTTAGGAGAACCGGTTCTCTCCCTGACCACTACAAGGCTATTAGACATTGCTGAAAGAAAAGCACCCGTTTTTGTTCCCCTCACTGTTGACTTTTCAAAGTTCTTTGCTCTTTAACAGTTCACACCCTGATCTAAAAGTTAATGCAGGAGGCATAAGAAACCTAAGTTTCCAGTCAGACAGGAAGGCACAGCTCCCAGGCAAAATGTGATGGAGGCAGCAGGCACAGCCTCTTCCAGCTTAGCTCACCTGCTGGAAGCCTCCTGTGTGTACCAGGCCCGCCTCCCCTAGAAGCCTCCTGCATGCACCAGGCCCACCTCCCCTAGAAGCCTCCTGC